TTTGCTATCACTTATCACTTAAAATCTGTCTTTTTTTGTAGTTAATAAACTTGTTTTTGTGTTTTATCCAACGCAGTGTGCATTTAAGTGAAGTTTCTGGGGAGAATCTCAGCTCTGTGAGCAAAGGCTATTGCATACCCTTCCCACATTGAGGGGAAGGTGAACCATATATTAATGAGCTTACTTTGTACAGATTCCTGTGCAGTGTAAGACGGTATTTTTTTTTTTTTTACTCCAGCAAGGGTGCAGGGTAGAGGAGCTGGGAAATTGGCTGTTGTCTCCTGCCTGTCTTTGAGTAAGGCACTTGGGTCACTCAGTTTAGGTGTTTGGTGCCAGCTGCTGTCATGTTGGGTGACTACAGGTCCTGAAGAGGCTGTGAGTCACCAAAAGAGCAGTGTAGGAAAGGCCAGCCCAGCTCGGAGGTTAAAGGGGCGCAGCTCCCACACACTACCCCAGAGGTTACAATCTGTCACACAGTATAACTACTTTGCTCAGGGGTGTGAATTTCCACAACCCTGAGCACTACAGTTATACTGACATAATTTTTTAGTGTAGACTGGGCCTAAGAGTATTAAGAAATTTACAATGAGCCCCTTCTGCTGACATGGAATCATAGAAATGTAGCATTGGAAGGGATCTTGATAAGTCATCTAGTCGAGTCCCCTGGGGTTTTGTCTAAACTGTTCTTAAAAATCTCCAATGATGGAGATTCTACAACCTCCCTAGATAATTTGTTACAGAGCTTAACTACCCTGTCAGGAATTTTGTCCTAGTATCTAACCTAAATTTTTCTTGCTGAAATTTAAGCCCATTACTTCTGTCCTGTCCTCAGTGGTTAAAGAGAACAATTTATCACTCTATTCTTTATAACAATATTTTACATACTTGAAGACTATTATCGTGTCCATCCTCAGTCTTCTCTTCTCCAGACTAAACAAACACAGGTTTTTTCAATCTTTCCTCAAGGTCATGTTTTCTAGACCCTCAGTCATTTTTGTTGCTCTCCTCTGGACTTCCTTTTATTTGTCCACATCTTTCCCAAAGTGTGGTTTCCAGAACTGGATACAATACTCTAGTTGATGCCTTGTCAGTGCTGAGTAGAGTGGAAGAATTACTACTTGTGTCTTGCTCCTGCTGCTACTACACCTGAGAATGATGTGCACTTTTTTCAGCAGTATTACATCATTGACGCATATTTAGTTTGTGATCAACAATAACTCCCAGATCCTTTTCTGCAGTACTCCCTTCTATGTATTTATTTCTCATTTTGTATTTGTGTGATTGATTATTACTTTCTAAGTGGAGTACTTTGCATTTGTCCTTATTGAATTTCATCCTATATATTTCGGACCATTTCTCCAGTTTGTCAAGACCATTTTGAAGTCTAATCCTGTCCTCCAAAGTGCTTGCAACCCCTCCCAGCTTGGTATTGTCCACAAACTTTATAAGTGTACTCTCTCTGTTATTATGCCAAGCATTTATGAAGATATTGAATAGAACCAGAGCCAGGACAGATCCCTGTGGGACTCCACTCATTATGCCACTTCAGGTTGACTGTGAATCATTGATAACTATTCTCGGAGTGTGGTTTTGAAACCAGTTGTGCACTCGCTTTATAGTAGGTTTGTCTAGGCTATATTTCTGAAGTTTGTTTATGAGACAGCTCATGGGAGATAGTATCAAAGGCCTTACTAAAGTCAAGATATAGCACATGTATTGATTCCCCCCACCCACAAGGCTTGTTAGGTGTCAAAGAAGGATATTAGGTTGGTTTGACATGATTTGTTCTTGACAAATCCATGTTCACTGTTACTTATCCCCTTATTATCTTCTAGGTGCTTACAAATTGATTGTTTGAGTAGTTGCTCCATTATCTTTCCAGGTACCAAAGTTAATTTGACTTGTCTGTAATTCCCTGGGTTATCCTTATTCCCCTCTTATAGCTAGATACTATATTTGCCCCTTTCCAGCCCTCTGGGATCTCTCTCATCCTTCATAAGTTTTCAAAGATAATCGCTAATGGCTAAGAGATCTCTTCATCCAGTTGCTTAAGTATTCTAGGGTGTATTTCATTAGGGCCTGCTGACTTCAAGACATCCAGGTTGTCTAAGTAATTCTTAACTTGTTCTTTCCCTAGTTTAGTCTCAGAGCCTACCCCATTTGCACTGATGTTCACTATGTTAGGCCTGGTCTACGCTGGCCGGGGAGGTGGGGGGAAATCAACCTCAGATACGTCAATTTCAGCTACGCTATTCTTGTAGCTGAAGTTGGGTATCTTAGGTTGACTTAACTCACGTCCTCACGGCGTGAGATCGACTGCCGCCGCTCCCCCATTGACTCTGCTCTGCCTCTCAGCATGGTGGAGTACAGGGTTCGACAGCAGAGTAATCGGGGGTCGATTTATTGTGTCTACACTAGATGCGATAAATCGATCACCGATAGATCGATCACGGTGGGTATTGTAGATATACCCTTAGTAGTCAGATCACTGCTAACCTTTTTGGTGAAAAGCTGACACAAAAAGAGCATTTAACACTTGGCCATTGCTGCACTTTCTGTTATTGTCTTTCCTTCTTCATTGAGTAATGGGCCTCCTCTGTCTTCCTTTTGCTTCCAATGTATTTGTAAAATGTTTTCTTGTTATCCGTTATGCCTCTAGTTAGTTTAATCTTGTTTTGTGCCTTGACTTTTCGAATTTTGTTCCTACATTCACATGTGTTTTTTTTAATACCAAACCTTAATAATTTGACCTAGTTTCCACTTTTTATATGATTCTCTTTTGAGTTTCAGGTGATTGAAAATCTCCTGGTTAAGCCAGGGTCGTCTCCCTATTTGTCAGAATCAAATCTAGGACAGGCTGTGACCTAGTCGCTTTCTGTCATGAAAAGTTGTCTGGAATACATTCCAAGAACTTGTTAGATAATCTGTGCCCTGCCATTTTATTTTCCCAACACATGTCTGGGTAGCTGAATTGCCCCATCACCACCAAGTCCTCTGCTTTGGACGATTTTGTTAGTTGTTTAAATAAAACCTTATCTACGTCTTCGTCTTCGTTAGGTTAGGTGGTCTATTGTAGATCCCTACATGACCTCACTCTTGGTTTTTTACCCCTTTTCTCCTTACCCAGAGACTTTCAACAGGTCTGCCTCCCACTTCTATCTCGTGCAGGTCTATATATCCTTGATATATAAGGCAACACCTCCTCCGTTTATTCTCTGCCTGTCCTTCCTGAACAAGTTATACCCTTCTATACCAATATTTTACCCATGTGAATTATCCCACCCAATCTCTATGATGCCAATTATGTTGTAATTCTGATTATTTGCTAGTATTTCTAGTTCTTCCTGTTTATTCCCCATACTTCTTGCATGAGTATACAGCATCAAAGATGTTCATTAGATTTCCCCACAATATTCCCCTCCATATTGTCTTTCCTTTTCCCACTAGGATTGTCCATGTTCCTTCCCCAGACTCTGACTCTTCACCCAGATCTCCATATTCTGGACTTTCCTGTGGGCTTTGTTTTCCTGCACCCATCAAACTTATTTAATGCCTCCCTGAGTGGATTAGCCAGTCTGTTTCAGAAAGTTTCTTCCCATTCCTGGCTAGTTGGCCCCCATCTCTGCTCAGCAGTCCTTCTTGGAACAGCATCTCATGATCAAGGAACCTGATGCTTTCCTAGCAACATGCACATTCTTTGTGTACAATCATTATATATATTATACATTATATGTATAAAACTATTAGATGTGCAATTTTCTAAAGCTCTAAGTTTTCGTCTGAATCTGATCCCATTGAAGTCAATGGGAGTTTCTACCATTGACTTCACTGTAAGCAGAGTTATGCCATCACTGAACACTTCTGAAAATCCTAGCCTAAGCTTCTAATAGTTGCAACTGTTTTGTTTGGATGTGTAAGGAGTCATCAATTTAAAATTAACATGCCCAGCAAAACAAACATATTCAGTTTCAGTGCCCAAAAGAAAATTAGGCCCAGTGAATTTAATATAGAATTATCTGGTGTCATAAATATAAAGGGAAGGGTAAACCCCTTTGAAATCCCTCCTGGCCAGGGGAAAGCTCCTCTCACCTGTAAAGGGTTAAGAAGCTAAAGGTAACCTCGCTGGCACCTGACCAAAATGACCAATGAGGAGACAAGATACTTTCAAAAGCTGGGAGGAGGGAGAGAAACAAAGGGTCTGTGTCTGTCTGTAGTCGTCTTGGCCAGGGACAGAACAGGAATGGAGGCTTAGAACTTTTAGTAAGTAATCTAGCTAGGTATGTGTTAGATTATGATTTCTTTAAATGGCTGAGAAAAGAATTGTGCTGAATAGAATAACTATTTCTGTCTGTATATCTTTTTTGTAACTTAAGGTTTTGCCTAGAGGGGCTCTCTATGTTTTTGAATCTAATTACCCTGTAAGATATCTACCATCCTGATTTTACAGGGGGGATTTCTTTATTTCTATTTACTGCTATTTTTTATTAAAAGTCTTCTTGTAAAAAACTGAATGCTTTTTCATTGTTCTCAGATCCAAGGGTTTGGGTCTGTGGTCACCTATGCAAATTGGTGAGGCTTTTTATCCAACATTTCCCAGGAGAGGGGGGGGGTGCAAGTGTTGGGAGGATTGTTCATTGTTCTTAAGATCCAAGGGTCTGGGTCTGTAGTCACCTAGGCAAATTGGTGAGGCTTTTTACCAAACCTTGTCCAGGAAGTGGGGTGCAAGGTTTTGGGAAGTATTTTGGGGGGAAAGACGCGTCCAAACAGCTCTTCCCCAGTAACCAGTATTAGTTTGGTGGTGGTAGCGGCCATTCCAAGGATAACGGGTGTAATATTTTGTACCTTGGGGAAGTTTTGACCTAAGCTGGTAAAGATAAGCTTAGGAGGTTTTTCATGCAGGTCCCCACATCTGTACCCTAGAGTTCAGAGTGGGGGAGGAACCTTGACATCTGGCTTTACACCTTTGTCTTCTAAATTTCATATTTTCTCCTATTTTTCAGTGTGTTGTGTTTGCTATGACTTCTGGGCAAATGTGGAATCATATCCGGGGACCTCCATATGCTCATAAGAATCCTCAGAATGGACAAGTGGTGAGTGAATTTTTTGCATTAGTATCTAAATTGACTTGATTGCTACAGAGTTCTGAAAATCTAAAGTGCAGTGGGAAAATGGATCAGGATCACAATTCAGGAAACGTGAACACTGCCTGTTGTGGAACCAACAGCTCCCATTTGGACACCTAACTAAGTAGCCTTGTCTTCAAAACATCTGAGCTTCTATTTGTGCACCTAAGCAAAATGGTAGGATTTTCAAAGGCACTCAACACTAAGCAGCTCTTGTTCATCACAAATAAATAAACGTTACACTTTTTTGTTGGGACGTGCTAAGTAATAAGATTAAAATGTAAACTAGTCTGAATTTTCACTTTTTCTGCAAGCTCAACTCAGAGAAATCCATTTAAATTTTAAAGAATTTGGGCAAGAAACCCTCTGTCCCCACCATGAAGGCTGAAAACAAGAGGGAGAAAGTAGAGGAGATTGTCAAGGTTCTAATTTGTTTGCGTTTTTTTTTTTTTACAGCTTCTCGACATCCCTGTAACCCTTTAGTAGGGCTTTACAGAACCCCTTTTTGCTCATACACTTGCCTTTTCATTGTATCCCATTATGGGGTGGGCTCCTCTGTCAACTTCTTATGAGCTGAGGGCTGCCCCTGTTGCTGCTATGTATCTATGTTACTGTTGTCAGAAAAAAATTTCTCATAGGGGAGGGAAAACAAATTTCTAAACTACTCCCCAACATGCACAGTGATTTGCTGAGAAGGGGGAGCAAAGCCCCCTGACTTCATCTTTGAGAAGGTGCCAACAGTTGATGAAAAGATGGCCCAGGTTTTTCTCCATCATTTTGAGTATTTGTCACGACCAAAAAGTGATTGGAGTAGAAGCTTACAAGGCTTGCAAAAACTTTGGCAAACATCCACCTTTTTTCCTACTTAATGGAACTTCTAACCATTTTCAAGTTTGCCCATTGCTAGTTCACCTTGCCTGTTTAGGCCTAAAAGAATAAATCCTCTCTATTTCCTTTGATGCTTCATATCCTAATTGGAGTAGCAGAAAGTGATGGCTTGAATTCGATTACTGACCCACAGGGTACCAGGATTATAGCAGGAGATTGATGACATAAAATGACGTGATTCGGTCTGCTGCTTTGTTATGCAGAACTAGATCCAATAAAGTGATAAATAATGTCAGTAAAACATTGTGTTTAGAAGGGTTTAGAATTTTTCATTAGTGCCTTGAAGTATTTAATGTATAATGTCTTCCTGCAGAGTGATTGAAAGGTGAAAGAGGGCATATAACCCTTCTTAAAGACTCATTTCTGCTGTGCTTCCTACAGTAAAGCTAGTTGACTTATATAAAAAAAAAAGCCGATGTTATTCCACTTCCCATAAATTTTGTCATTTTGACTGTCTTCAGACTGTGAGCTCCTCAGACCAGGGACTGTCCCTTCTTGAATATCTGGGAAGCTGGAATGTGAGTCAAGAGACCTAGATTCTATTCCCAACTCTGTTGTTGATCTGTTGTGTTACTCCTCGGCAAGTCACTTCATCTCTCTGTGCCTCTCTCCCACCTCTCTCCCTTTGTCCATATTCTTTATTTAGACTATAGGCTCTTTGAGGCCATGACTGTCTCACTATGATTTTATAAAATGCCTAACACAAATCATACATTTTAGTTTCTGAGATGTCAAGAAGGATTTGGACACAGGCTACTAGACTCCTGGTCTAGTTTGTGAACTATTGACCAATGTAATTAGAGGTCAAAGCAAATTTCAGTTCATAACTGGTAGATAGGTTTCAGAGTAACAGCCGTGTTAGTCTGTATTCGCAAAAAGAAAAGGAGTACTTGTGGCACCTTAGAGACTAACCAATTTATTTGAGCATAAAATAGATAGATCATTATTTTCAGAAGTTTGATATAGGACTTATCAAATATTAAACTAGAAGTTTAGTGATATTCGATATACCTGTGCATATTTTACTGTTTTTTTTTCAGAGAATGGTATTATACATTTTTAATGTCACACCCTCAAGGCTTTAGTTATATATCTTTTAACTTGGAGTCATAACAAATATATACAGGAGCTTCCTGTGATATTTATGTGGCCTCTTTGTTAATTCTTAATAGCACTACTTGGTACTTTATTGCAAATTTTAATCTGTACATCTTGATTATGTTTACGAAAATGAGTAAGCAACATTATCCTTCGACACATGAGAGATATGGATAGGTTACATCCTAAATTTATTAAATGTTGTGTCCAAATTTGTTCTCACTTTTGTGTGCATAATACACTGGATGCATAAGTATGACCCAACTGTGTGTGTGTGTGTGTATCAGTTGTTGCATGCACACTCCTAAAAAGGCATATAAAGGGTTAGTAGTTTTAATGTGAGATTTAAATCCTCTACATGATTGAAGGGATTCTCTGCTTTTGTGGCTGGAATCCAGGTTCATGCATAGTGCATGTTTTCACAAGTCCTGCTTAGCCTGAGTTGCACCAGACTTTTAAAGAGACAGCATTCTATCTTTAGAGCCCTGCACGGATACAACATTAGTATCCACATCCGATCCACAATCCGCAAACATCGATATCCGTGGATTTGCAGGGCTCTATCTTTATGTCAACTTTACGTTTATGAAGCCAAAAATATTTACTGCTGATGGCTGAGATATTGCTGAGCTTCACTTCCCAGATGATGTTGGTCTGACCATCTGTGGGATCAGGTGGGATTTTTTTTTCCCTTGGGGCCAAATTGGCAGGGTGTCGGGGGAGGGGAAGCTGTTCTCCTTCCTTGCAGCATCATGGAGGTACAGTTTCAGGTGAAAAGGAGTGTGAATAGTGATTTTTAAGGTTAGAAAGAGATATAGAAATGTTTGGTTTATCTCAATTTGAATCTGATGTTCTGTGCAGATAAAGGCTGAAAGGGACAGCTCCCAGAGAGAAGTCTGTATAAGAGGCCAAGGATATGGCTAGTGGTCCTTTTTTTGCCTATGAAGTTATGGGGAAATCTTAAGCCTTTGCAGACTGAGGTACCCACATACCGCCTTGTTGGGGAAGGGTGAGCAGATTCAGAGATGAACTGAGTATTAGAGGCAAGGCTGAAGAGGACCAACCCTGAATTACTGGTTATATGGTAGCAGGCCATTTAACCCTCCGCTGGACTCAATTAAATGGAGGGGCAGAGAGTACAAGTTCAGTTAATAAAGTTACAGTCTGTTTTAAAACCATCTCTCTGTTTCATTCACTTGCCTGTCCTTATCAATGGTAAATAGTGGCACCCATTTTACTTTCCACCTATGATAGGTGTTTGTCCCCTTTACAATTTTGATGGAACTGCTTGATTTCTGTGCTCGTGTATTCACTCTGACTCATGGGAAAGGCTGCCGGATGAAATATGGGATTTTGAAGACTACATCATAAATTATTATCAGTGGCATCCCTTCACTGTAAACTTGTCTAGGTCTGATAAAAGGGATAGTTACTACATAGGTGCTTTAAATCCCAAGGATTGCATTATAGATAATTATAATGGAATACATTTTCCTGCCCTTCTTTCCTTATTCAACCAAACTCCTCTTGAATCTGTACAGCTTTTTCTACAGTTACCCTTTCTTAGCACCCTACTAGGCTGTAAATACAAATGTTTGATATATTTCTGAAAACTGACTTCTGTTTACTTTTACACTAAATAAGTTTTAGTAAATCAAATATACATGTATATTAACATAGTACAACATAATGTAAGGAAAATCAATAACTAGAGGTGTATGATGCTGGGATTGTTTTGCAAGTTTATTTGGCACAATTTAGATGTCCTCTAGTCTGGCAGTCAAGTGCTAATGGTCCACTTAACAGTATAATACATCAAAAAACACTCATTATCAGATTGCTTAAGAAGAGTATACAATACCACAAAGGCATGGGATATAAAATGAATATTTTTTGTTATGGAAACAATTTTGCTCTGTTCATTTTATTCATTGAATCCAAAGATTTATCAAGGATACACCCTTTAACTTAGACAACTTCATTTTACTTTGTGCAAACTAAAGCTTTCAACATCACGTGATCATTTTTAATTATTATAGGCTGGTCTAGATGTGGTATGTAGTTTAGCAAATTACAATCCCCTAGGTGGAAGGATAATATATACCACCTCAAAAATGTATATGTACAGAAAATCAGACTTTCTCATCAATAATTCTCTCTTCAAATGCAATTCCCTCTTCATAGTTGAGAGTGTGTGCCTCAGAATCAATTGGAAGACAAGGACAGTTTCTGTTTCAAGCATGTTTTCTTATAGATCCCATCATTCCGAGACAGATTTATATGAAGGGCTGTGGCCTCAAGCAGCCTCTTTCTTTGTATGTACCTGTAGGCAGCAGGTCTGAGAACCATTGCTTCTTGTTTTCCATTTGCTATTTCATTATTGTAGCATGGTGTAGTTTGTAGTTAGTATTCAAATGAATAAAAACTTTTTAAAAACATATTTCTTTACTCCATGCTGTTTCAGATCAGCAGTTCTCTGTATATTTATCGATTCAGTCATGGATTGTTTGCTGGCTCTGGGCCATTTCATTGGGCTAGCCCTCCATCTAACTTATGTGGTTCCATGATAGTTGGAATTACTTTAAGCCATGACTAATAGGTGCCCATGAGAGTCAATTTTAAAAAAATCGCAAAATATCTGTGATGGACCAAATTACCTGTTTCTTTAAACGCCTCTGGGAAAGCATATTCAGACTTTACCTTTGTCATGAGTAAGCATTGGCTGAGGCAATTCTTAATGCAGGCTGCTTTAAGAGTCCAGCTGATGAGGACTGTTTCATTCTTTGTTTGATCACTTCCATGTTTATTTCATATTTCCAAAACTATGTGATTTGGGATAGAGACAGAGCTGTTATAAGATAAATTTACAAAATCACTTGCATTCTAACCTCATTTTAAATCCTTCATAACTTCCTGAATCTTCACCTTTCAGGCTGAAATTTCCCAGGCTTCTTGTCTGACAAAGATGACTTTGGCAGGAA